GACCTCTGCACCGCTGCAGCACCGAGCGCACGCTGGGCCACGTTGCGCACCAGATGAGCACGCGGCTCTTTTCACTGCTTCCGTGCTGTGCCGCCAGTGCAGTTGCAGCTGCTCCGGCCTGTGCCTTGTTGAGCTGGTGCACCAGCAGCTGGTCGCGGAGCACGCCCACCCCCCCAGGCAGAGCAGGACGGGGAGTGCTGTGAGGTTGAGCACTGAAAATTTGCATATGTTATAACAGATCTGTAGCATATTTTCCCCCTCCCCCGTTCGCATTGCGTTCGTTGTTGTGAAGTGTGCTCGAGCGGTCGTTGCTCGGCTGCTGGCTTCGCTGGCCTGCTTCCGTGCTCGCTCGTTCGCTCGAGTTTGCGAAGCGCTTCTTATTGCGCCATCGGCTGCTGACGGTGTTGTCCCCCCTGAATTGTTGAGGTGGCAGCAGTGCTGCGGTGCTCTTCGCTTGCGCCGGGCGTTTTTTCGACGCGCCTCCTTTACCACTGCCCCTTTGCGGGTGCACTTCGCGTACTGAATTGAGCTGCAGGCAGTAACTACCCGTATGGAGCATATGTGCAGCCTGCTGGGCCGGCGTGTTCCTCCTTTCCCTCGTCGCGTGTTTACGGCTAGCAAAGTACTGTTCTCGCGTTTCTTGAACTTCAGCACTGAGCACCCAAAAGCCTGCGCATTGCCGGGGTATGCCAGCTCACTGGCAACACATTGAGCGTTTCGAGGGATGATGGTGTTTTTTTTCCCAGGCGGCCGGGGGGTGAGGGGATTTCAGGATGATGTTATGTGACTTCTCAGATTGTGATGTGTGCTGACTGTCACACCTGGGGACTGCGGCCAGCTGGAGGGCGAACTGCGCCAAATCGTGCGATAGCTGGCAAACCTCTGTTTTGTTTTCAGGAAGGTAGAGGATCGAGCGCTGGTACTGTCGCAGACTTGTACATATTGCTATTGGTGTGGGGCGACAAGAAGAGTAGTTTTTCTCGTATTTGTCGACCGCCGCCTATTCGTCTCGGGAAGGCTTCGCTGGCCACCGCCACCGCTGAATGCTTGCAAGCAGTTGGCGCGGGTATTCCATTCATCGATCTCATTTATCGTGTACCTCTGTGAGCAGGTGAGCCTTCGCAATGCAAAATGTCGAACAGTAACAATAATAATAATAATAATAATAATAATAACAATAATAATAATAATAACAATAATAATAACAATAATAATAATATTTCCTATAATTCTGCTACTTCTTTTGCTCTTGTCTGCGGTTGTTCTGTAACGCACGTGCATTGTCTGGGAATCTCGTGCAGTTTGTGGCCGTTTTGGATAGGTTAGGCGCTTTAGCCGCAGTTGTGTTGTCTCTGTTTTGTTGACGAGGCAGAAAGGCTGTAAGTTTGGCAGATTTTGATGTGCTGGTGCCTATTGTAGTGCCTGTTTTAGTTGACTTGCGAAGGAGTTGCAATGGCAGAGAAGCGTAAGCTACTCAACGAAATCGACAAGTGCTTCAAGAAGGTCTCTCTTTTCTCTCTCATTTCATTTGCTGCTCCGATGATGTCGAAGCTCCACTGCCACACTTTCTTGCGATAATTCGCTTCGATGCTACTGGCTGTCGCTCGCGCATTCCGTGCATGATTCCTGCTGGCAGATTGGGATACGTATGGCTGTTAATTCACACACTGTGGCGGTCCCGGAAATGATCCGTTGGGAAGGCTTGCAAATTTGGCTGCGTTTTTCACTTGCAGTTGCTGTTTCAGGTGGAAGAAGGGGTTGAATTGTTTGAAGAAACAATGGCCAAAATGCAGGAGGCCAACAGTGACAATCAGAGGGAGAAGTTCCAGGTAAACTGCGACCAGAGACCCATCACAGCAACCTTTTTCTTTCCCATAATTTCGTACTTCCTCGTCCTTTCGTTGCAGTGCACCTTCATTCCCCTCCTCTCAGTGCACCTGGCAGTCTTACCAATCGTGCCTGGTGATGGTGGTGGTTTTGCGATCGGTTTCCATACTTTCCGGGTTGCCTAATGTACCATTCCCATTAGTGCCGACTCTCTGTTCCATAGCGGTTGGCATTTACTGGTCTTTGAGTTCACTACCACAAATAATTTAAGTGTAACGGCATTTCACGTTTGTGTTGTGTATATTTTTGCACACGCATTGAATCGCGATTAAATTACATCCTCATTCGCATGTGCATCTGTTTACGTTTCAGGATGATTTGAAAAAAGAAATAAAGAAGTTGCAAAGGCTGAGGGATCAGATCAAGGGCTGGCAAAATTCATCAGACATTAAGGTTTGCCGGTGCTGCTCTTGTCGTCCAGCACATGTTTTCTGTTAGAAATTTGATCACTTTTCGCAGCAGCTTTTTAGGACAAGGATAAGTTAACATCATATCGAAAACTGATCGAGCAGAGGATGGAACAGTTCAAGGACATCGAACGAGAGAATAAGACAAAGCCACACAGCAAGCAGGGCTTATCAGCCGAAGAGAAGCTCGATCCTCGGGAAAAAGAGAAGGCTGAGACAGTGGAGTGGTTGCAGGTATTTCGATTTGGCACGGCTACTGATTTCTTCGCAGCTCCTTTAGACAACCATATATGAATACATGAAACGGCTCCTCTCGTCGCCACTTTGATCTTCTCTTGTCTTCTTATATTTGTCAGGCAGAAAAGTTTTTCGTGTAAAAAAGAATTGAGTTTTGGTTAAGGATTGATTCTAATGCAACGTTTTAGGAGGGCAGGAAGAAGGAATCGGAGCTGAGAAGCGCTCTGCCTAATCCATATTCGCCTCTCTTACTTGTCTAAAATGGCATTTGTTGTTGTTTTGATACATCAGATGCTTCAATATGTTATTTTTTGGCTTTTATGAGATATCTCGAACTCATTTTTGCGCCGTCCAACGCAGTGCATTTTTTCCTTCCGCACACAAACAATTTTGATTTTCCAGTAACGGAGGTGCCTTCCCATCCTCACGGCGTCGCGTTCGGGCAAGTCATTTGTAATAATTAGAGAGCATTTTCCTTGTAGTGTCAGATCCGGTGCTTGGAGGATGAAGCAGATAAAACCGAATCGCAAATCGAGTCGTTGTCGACCGCTGACCAGACAAGGAAGAAGGGCAAAAGGGATGATCCGAAGAAAGGAGAAAAAGAGGTCGCTTTTTATTTTCAGGCTTCTTTTCTCATAAAGATTCCGCTATTGTTGTACGACCTCTTTTTCTGCTTTATTGAGAGTATACACTCTCAGTTCTCGGTCTCTTCAAACTTAGATACGATAAAATAGCAGTACATATATGTTTATAAGAGTCGTGAGTTTGGGCAAAGAGAAAAACAAGAGCGTGAAAAACGATGCTGGATTAGTTAACCAAATTGCAATAATTTTGAGAGATCGACTAAAAGAGTGCAGTGCGGAATTAATGTACTGTTTTACTGTTCCTTTGAAAAAGAAGCCTATTGTGGGGCTGGTAATAGCGTCCGCGAACTTCTCAGTGGAATGAGCAAAAACGAATTCTGGAGGCAACACCTTTTCTAGCTAGTCGGAGACGAGGCCACTTGTTTGTCTGTTAACAGAATTTAGCCCAAAAAAACAAAAATTCGGTTTAAGTGATGCTTGGGAAAAGAATCTGTGAACAGCTTTTCCAGCTGCTAGTTGCTGCTGGCAAAATGCAGCTAATTGAAGAACTTTTACTTCTTTCCACCTCACGCGAAGAGTAAATGCGAACTTTGACTTGGTTTTTTTCCTCATTCTCTTATGTTTGCAGAGGTTGAAAAGGCTGGATGACTTGAGGAAGCACCTGGAACGAATAAGATTTCATGTGTCGAAATTAGAAATCTGCATGAGACTGGTCAATAACGAAACACTAGAAAGCAAGAAGGTAATGGATGCGCTCAGGGAACCTTTTGAGCTGTATATTGAAGCACTGGATCCAGAAGGCGAAAATGACCCGGAATCATTTGATCCGGAAACTACAGGTGATGCCTTACCATCCTGCTTCGCCTCCTTCAACAACTGCTTTGAGCAACTAGCTAGTTAGTGAATTTAGTTCCCAAGGAGCACTGTGGCTGCGCTGTCAGTTGAAAATTTTCTCACTGCTTTTTCCAGTCTTTCTTGCTTGATCACTGCAAATGTGTCCTCTTTGCCCCTTCCGTATTTATGACGGCTGGTGTGCTTGGTGCAGTAGTAAGTAGACCGAGTCTCGTGCTTAGTTTTGACTGCACCTGCTCTCTCTACGATTCATTTCTTCATTTCAGTGGTGAATTGGTACTTGTTAAGGAACCTGCAGTATCTCTTGGAAAAGAGAGCCATCTTTATCCTTGTTTAACCTATGGGATTGTTTCCAAATGCTTGCACTCATGAAAGAGGAAGTGGAGAGAATACTTACCACTTGTTCTCTTTGCAAACAAAGAATGTAGCTCGACTTGATTTATTTAATTTACACTGCATAAACTTCGTGTTACGCAGGTGCTGCAGTGTTCCTCTGTTTTGTTTACGAGCGGCAGTTAAGATTTGTGTTGGGCCTCTACGCTTTATGTTAACCAGCTGCCTGAGACATTACAGGAGTATATGATGAGTTGGATCTGCAGTCCTACACTCCGCAGTTAGGTGGCGCTATCTTTGGTTCAGCAGATTCCGAAGAAAAAATGGAAAACAACTTGGACGGGCGAACTACACCGCCCGCATCGCCTCCGCCAGTCTTGCCTAAGGTTATTTTATGTGATAATCACATCGGATTTTTTTTT